AGTCATCTTGATGGAGCACTTAAAGAGTGTCTGAGACAGCTTCGACAGTCAAGACAAGAGCAAGAGAAGAATCTCCAGCTCACTGTGTCCAAGACAAGTTCTGAATGGGAGTTTAGAAAGTCTGAACTTGAAAATAAGCTTGTTCAGCTCCAGGCTGAACTGCAAAATTCTAAAGCCAAAGACAGTAACGTCAAAGATCTTCAGTGTAAGCTTGAATATGTGGAGAAACAGAACTCAATACTCAAGATTGAGCTTGTTTCCATATCTGAGGAGCTCAAATTAATGACATCTGAAAGAGACTTAACCACTCATGCTGCTGAAACGGTCAGCAAACAACAGCTCGAGAGTATCAAGAAGGTCGCTAACCTTGAAGCAGAATGCCGTATGCTTAAGGCATTCGTTCGGAAAAAATCAGCCATTAACCACCACAAGTCTAGCGCTTCTTCCTCTGCTTATGTTGAACCTTCCACTCATAGTTTATCAAATACTGGAGAACAGCTGTCTATAGTCGAAAATGATAGTTGCAACACGAATGGTTTGGAGCCAAATAATAATTACCAAAACAGTTCTGGCTTCTTGTCTTCTGCTTTAGTTTCTGAATTGAGTCAATATAATCATGGAAAGCCACATAAAAGAGAGCTTATAGCGTCGTCTCTAGAGATAAATCTGATGGATGATTTTCTTGAGATGGAGAAACTTGCAGCACGTCCTGACATAGTGTATGAAAGAAGCAATGGCAGAGGAGCACACATCAGTGAACCCATTTTAAGAACTGAACTTGGAGCCGCGATTAGTCAGGCAGCTGACGTGGAGAAGTTGGCAAAGATGGAGGAGGAGAAATTGAAATTAGAGATGGAATTAACTCAGTGTCAGGGAGAGCTTAAGATATCTAAAGAACAATTAGAAGAAACCATGGACAATTTAACTGAAGTAAGAACTCAGTTATCTATGGAAAATGATGGCAGGAGAAAACTGGAGGCTGAATTCAAGGCTGCTATAACCAAGCTTAAAGACTTAATAGAACATTCACAGAAAATGGAGGCTGAGATTGTCGAGCTCGAAGCAAAGTTATCTATGGCAAATGAAGCAAAGAAGAAGACTGAGGCAGAAGTCGAGTCTGCCAATACTATGCTCAAGAATTTAGTTGAACGCTTAGAAGAAGCACAGATTGATGTTGTGGAGCTCCAAGCTCAGCTCATTACAGCTAATGAAGCAAAAAGAGCTGCTGAGGCTGAAGTTGAGGCTATCAATGTGAAGCTTAAGAAATTAGAATTTTGCTTGGAGGAAACTGAAGTCAAGTGTTTAGGAATTCAAACCCAACTAGAAATGGTGGAAGGAATGAAATCTGGAGTTGAGGCTGAACTTGAAGCTATCAATGCAAAGAAATATGTGTCAGAGTCACTACTTAAAGCGACTGAATTGGAGCTTCAAACATTGCTTTCTAAAGTTGATTTTCTTCAAGAGGAGCTTTCCGAGGAAAGGGATTTGCACCAGAAAACTGCTGCCAAGTTACAGAAACTAGAAATTGATAATTCAGTGAAAAAATCTGCATCCCAGCTTCAGAAAGGAACTATATTCGGGGAATTTACAATCAATAAGGTCAGTTGCCTCATATTTTTAGAGTTCAACCCCTTGTGTATGTATTTAAAACCTTGAAAATAGCTTAGAAGTTCTTACAGATCTTTCTAATCAACTAGCAACGTTTTGGTAATTGCTGACCCTTCATTTTCGTAGACTTTTTTCTTCTAGAGGAGATTAAAGAATTATAATATTTTTATGATCTGCAACATTTAAAAAAAATTGGTTGTCATCTGCATGCAGTGCTATTTTAAGTTGCACAGGATGTGACAATACATGATTAGTAAGTGTCCATATATGATTACGGTGAGATATTTGGACGTGCAAAAGATATGTTTGAAAGTTGAGTGTTGAAGGTGGGGTAAAATGTTATTGAATGCATAATATGCTTTGGCTGCAGTTAATGTTTATAACCATTAAGAATGAATGTGAGAACATATCTTTTATTGTCTAGCTTATAAAGCATATTAAGGTTGTCACTATCATTAGACATTAGAGTAATGATATTTCTTCAAAAAAAAGACAAGACCGCTTCATACGTTTTCAGGTTTCCTGTTACTTATAAGGTAAAAATGGCAGTTTATTCAGTAGGTTCTTGGAGACAACTAAAACCCAGTTTTACTTTCCAGAAGTTTTTGTGTTACTTTGTGATTTTAATTCTCCGAAAGTCCTTATGTTTTACACTATGGTGAGAGGATAGTGTAAATCATTGTACTCATTCTTTTTCTTTTTTAATAAATGCTAGACATTCTGATATCGAAGATCTCTTCTCGATATAAACTTTTGCAGGACAGCGATAAGATAAGACTTACGTTTAAGTGGGGGAATTTTGGTGTAATTTGTTTTATGTTGCATGCAGCATGCACAAATTTACATTCCGGAAACCCTTGTCAGTTGTTTTTCAGTAACGAACAAGTTTTGTCCGTGTTTCCTCATATTTATATCAATATGTGCATGGCAGGATAAAGAAATGGCAATAGCAGCTAGTCGATTTGCAGAGTGCCAAAAAACAATTGCTTCCATTAATTGGCAATTGAAGTCCCTTGCTATCATGGATGATTTCTTGATCGAGTCAGATGAGCCATTACAGATACAATGACATGACATCCTCTTCAGAAGTTGCTCTTTTCTGAAGGGAGGATGATTGTCAAAGATTGAAATAATGCTGTTGAATTTAAGATTGAACAATTGAATAGCAGAAGAAGTTGCAAAGCTGGAATAGCAAAATCTTTGGTGCCATTTGATAAGTGCTTAGGCATGAACTTATTAGGTAGATAAAAAAATATATAATCATGTGCGGTACTAGTGAGTGTTATGTGCATATTTGAAGTACAAAGGTTCCAAATTCATTGTACAGAAGTTCACGAGAAAAAGTACCCTAAAGTTGGCAAGATATTTTACTTAGACACCTCAACTAAGTCATGTTCATTTTAGACACCTCATGTAAGGTTTCGCTATGTCATTTTGACACTTTTTGCTTACATGGCATAATGAGTGTGATACACTCATTGATTGGCGCGTGAATTTTTTTAGTTAATTTTAATTTTATTTTTTTTTGCTTCTTCTTCCCCATTTTAAGCCACCATTTTGCCCAAATTAAATTTCATCCATGGTGAATGAAGGTTTAAGCAAAATGACGGAAAATGTTGTTAAAATTTAAGAATAAATCCATTCATAAAATTCTTTCTTGAAAGAATTTAATATTTGTAGGTAAGTGAATTTAAGAAGAAACCTATCTTGATAGTTTGAGGGAGAGTGAATTTCTATAAACTAAGATAAAAAAATTCTTTAAATGAGCAAATATCTTCCATATCAAGCTATTTTCCAATCGGGTTGGTGGGGGCTTTCTTGATTAATTAATTTTACTCAAAATTAATCATTTAAAAATTACATTTGATACAAATGACAAATGTCATCATTTAATTCGTCACTTTACACGTCATTAGCGAGTGTAACACACACACCTTATGTATTTTTGCTGATACTAAAGAAAGTGTCAAAACGACACAACGGGGCCCTATATGAGGTGTCTAAAATGAACATTGTCCAGTTTAGGGGAGGAGCCACGTAGGCTCCAGGGTGTCCAATTGGACACCCTTCGTCGAAAAATTATAATATATACACGTAAAGTTTTGACTTTATATTGGTATATATAGAATTTGGACACCGTAAAATAACAAAGTAATGTGTAGTGGTGTTGGCAATAACCGTCACGAACCTGCTTTCTGCCCTGTTTCGATTCCCTGCAGGTGTGTTTCATTTTTCTTTAATTATTTTGACCTCTTGAATTTAATTAAGTAAATAAACATGCGTAACTTTTACATAAATGTTCAGTAGCTTGGTGGTTAATGGTGCCATGACTGGCTTCAGGGACCCAAGTCCAAATCTTACATCCACTAACCTTTTTTTCCAATTATAATTTCCTTAAATTTTAATACCTTTTCCTTGTGGAATAAGATTTCCTTAAATTCAATACTCTTTCCTTGTGGATTTTTTCAATTAAAATTGAATTATTTCCGCAAATTTTAATACCTTTTCCTTGTGGAATAAGATTTCCTCAAATTTTAATATTTTTTCCTTGTGAAATAAGGTTTTCTTTCTCTAGGTGACTCATTTACCCAAATTATAACATAATATTATTAAGAATAGAGTCTCAATAATTCTCTCTCTATTTTTTCTTCTCTTTCTCTTATTTTATAACAAAAATAACCAACTTAATATTTTAGTTCCAAGTTTCAATGGACATGAGGAATTATTATAATAGAGTACGAAAAAAAAGATTGACTTCTCTAAGTCAACCAAATAATGAAACAACGGTAGATCAATAATATATTTAAATTATGTTTTTCATAGTAGTTTATTTTGTCTTTATGTTAGTTTAGAATTATACACTTGTAATTCTATTTAAATATTCTTATATTTAATTAAATATTGCTTGACTTGATTATTTGTTTTGGTAATTTAAATTGTCGTTTTTTTTTAAAAAAATTACTATTAAAAGTTTGGACACCCTTCATAAATTCCAGGCTACGCCACTGGTCCAGTTAAGGTGTCTAAGTAAATCATCATGCCAACTTTAGGGGGTCACCGATGGGTTAGGCCTTTATTTTGACAACCAAAGTAGTTATTGTCTTTTCTTATATGACTTAGGACCAAACTGATCATTTTTAGATACATTAAGGACTAGTATCATCATATTTATACATTAAGGACAAAATGAAATCAAATTAGTACATAAAAAAAGTAAGGTAGACCTAGCCTCCCACCGACAACCCTAATTTCCCTAGAGAATCCAACGTATATGGCCACGATGGACTTGGGTGAGCCTATAGTGGAGGCAGCTCAGGCATTACCTACTCCGCCATGGATGACATATGCCAATTTGATGAAATCTACTCCCACATTAATTAAATCAGATCCTTGAAAACTTATTATGAATCTTCATGATGGGCCAAGAGTTGTATTGGAAAAGAAGTTTATCAGATTTTAGTTAATGAGAATTTATAATATGCAGTGATTCGAAAATTCTCTTACGAATGGTCATATATTCAAGATTTAATGAAGCTAATTCTCAAACAATGTAAACTGAAAGGGGAATGCAATATTGGGCTACTAAAGAATTTTTTTTTTCATTTTTACCCGCCCCATACCTCTACCCCCACCCCACCCCACCCCACTCAGGCTATTCCCGTCAAAATCTTTTTTTAAGAAAAAACTATTTTTGAGAAATATTTCAAATTTTAAAAAATTTCATTTTTCACGCCAACCAAACCCGTAAACTCCCCCCCCCCCCCCCGCGCCACCCCCACCAAGGCTACCCCATCAATTATTTTTTTTAAATTGCTTCTGAAAAATATTTCAATTTTTTTTAAAAGAATCATTTTTATGCTACTTTCCCCCCCCTCCCCCCCGTAAATTTTTTTTATTACAAAAAAATGGTTTTTGAATATTTTTTTTCCTAGGTTGAAAGTCTAGTCAGGTGCTAGGTCAAATCTCAGTGTTGGATTTTTGAATGGCTATCAGGGTCTTGTCCTAGTTTGGGTGTTGGGGTTGAGTCTTAGATTAATTATCGAGATTGATTTTTGAATCGGAATTTTTTTTCTAAAGAGTATTTTTTTTATTCTCAAGCAAAAATTAAAAGATTTTTTTTGAAAAATATTTTTCATTCACCAACCAAACATTAAAAAATATTATCTACTCACCAACCAAACATGAGAAAATAAGTTAAAATCCACTTGTTTTCCAAGAAAACATTTTTTGGGAAAACATTTTCCTTCATACCAAACACACCCTTAGATTGTGTTCTTAATAGAAGTTTTGATTTCATAACAATGAGATTACAATATTTTATGCATTGAAATCTCCGAGTTACTTTTCATGCTTATATTTTCACATGAACCCTAGTTGATGAGATTTTTGTCGAAAGAATTTGTGCAATTATTTTCCTTTCATTGATGTTGGAAATTAAAGATACTCCAAGAGTAATTTTAAAGCATCAATTTAAGAAGAGTTTTAAGGGAACTTTAATGTTCCCAAATGTATTATTTTTGCATTTAGAGAGAAAATACTATTTCAAGAAAAGCATAAAGAGTTTTCAGAAGCATTTCAGACATATAAAGTAAAGTTCAGTTATCCCTCAAAAGGATTCTTTGAATATTATCTCGGCTAAGAGAGTACTTTATAAGATCATACATATCAATATTTTAGCAGTGGTATTGAATACTGATTTGGGGTAAAAATTAAGATAACTCAAACTCTATACCCTGCACTGCCTATGTAGATAGGATTGTATCGTAATTTTGGCAACTCCTCACCCCTCCTCGTTGAGGGCTTGTTAGTGGATCCACAAGTTAAAGTTGCATTCTATACTCGTGCAAAGTATAGGGTGTGTCAAGATCCAAGTTATCCCTTAGGCGTAACATGGTGTATAAGACTCTGAGAGGCCCCATACAAGCCTCGTAGCGTTCATAATATAAGATAATAGAATACAAATGATTAAAAAGATAATTTCAATATATAAAAGTTTTATAGAGAAAAGCAAACGAATAAACATCATCTCAAAACCATCTAGTACATAAGAAATGATGGGGATGTAAGCCCGTACATAAATTTCCACAACTAAAAGTAAAGACAAAAGGGAAACCAAGCCCGGTCCTCCGGACATGAGGGCTCACCAATCTTCAAGCTTCTATATGAGATCCCTAGCCACAGAAGTGCAAATCTATAAGGTCAGACCGTACATTTGGGGAAATATAGGCAAGAGTATGAGCTAATAAAAACATGCACCAAGTATGATAGTAATGCATAAAACATTTGAAAACATTCTTAAAAAGGGGATACCTTCATGGTATGCAATGACCAAGCTAAAACATCGTATAAAAAGGGTTAAAAGACATAAGTCATAAAACATGGTTAATGCAAATAGACATCTTCTTAAATCACACGTGAGATACTTCTTGAAGTAACCTTAGATCATTATTATGGGAGATTTACCTTTAACTGACATATAAGACCACGTGAGCTATTAACACGGAATTTGGTGTCTACCCCACACCGAAAAGGGGTGTCCTACTTGCCAAGGTAAGACCATGAACTTCTAGCTTATGTGGATCCACTAGCTAATATCTATCTAAGAAAATCATCCTATGGGGTCACATAGGTATGGGATAAGGAGATCGCTACTAGAAACCTGACCTCTACTAAAATGAGAACTTCCATCTCAATATCCTCTAGATGCTAAATGTAAATCTCACGGAATAGTCATTTTCTTAACTTGTGCTTATTATGCATGGAAGGTCATGCATGGTTCCAATCCAAGCTAAGTCATATGTCATCCTTGGAAAGGTACAATTAACTAACCAATCCAAGCTAGGTTTCATTAGAATAGCTCCTTAACTTTGATTAATTTTAGGTGAGAAGACCTTTCAACCTTAGAATCCTTTTTGTGAGAAAACCTTTCACATTCATGCATGAGGTAGTTATGTGAGCAATCCTTTCACAACAATTAACCACAACAACAACATATAGGCTTTTACTCTTAAAGCATTTTACATCACATCTCCTCAATTCCATAAGAACATGCATATTCACCTTTCATAGTTCAAAACCCACTTTCAATCATCAATATTTAGAAAACATGGGTTGAGCATGGGTTCATGGGGATTTATCTTAAAATCATGAGATTATATCAATTCAATCATAAAAGTTCATAAATCAATTAAATAAAGAAACATTTAAAGGAACCCATGACATGGAAGAAAACCCTAACTCAATTGGGGATTTCTAACTTTGTAAATTGGAGAATTTGGGAACTCCATGGAGGAAAGGGCTCAATGGATGAACACTACCATACCTCAATGCCAAGAGCTTGCTTTCA